ATTATTATTGTTTTTTCTTTGCAAACAGGAATAAATTCTTCACACAAATACTGAAAAGTACTTCTAGTAATTCTTGATCTTCGTGCATAATTTTATATGTAAAATCGAAGAAGAAAATCACTCTGGTATACACAATCCTACCCGATTTAACCAATATTGTTCCTTGAATTATAAAAAATCAAAATATATGAAAAACCCTTTATTTTGACTTATTTTTTGCAGGTAAACAAATAAGACTCGAAGAAAATCTTAATGTGAAGTTGGTCTACCAGCTCTATAAGTTCTATAAGAAATTTGGATATGCACAATTCAATCTTTGGACTTAATTTTTTTTTACATAATAATAATTAATGCAATAGCAAGTTCTACGTGTAATTTTCCCCAAGCTTTAAATGTTTAAAATTTGTTTATAGAAAAGTATTAATTTTTTTTATAATAAACCATTTTACCTGATAGTATATATATCACAGAAAATTGTATCAAGCAATTCATTAACTTGGTGATATCTATTTAATATTTTCAAACAAAAATGAATTCGTGTAATGGACTTCTTTCAAGGATGGCTATTAACAAAATGTCAGTTAAAGAAAAGAAAGATTTGATTAAAGTTTCATTAATGATTTATTAACGGTCTTAATTATGCACATATATACTGTATATATAAATAATATACCACTTTGCAAGCTTCGTAGATCTTGCTTTTAACGCTTCAATCAATTGCTATCTAACTATGAATAACTGATAAACATTCATCAAGTAAAAGGACTTTTATTTACATATTTAATAAATAATATTATTAATAAGCACAGATTATAGTTGTAAAAACTAAGGTTTGTTTTTATATTCACTCTCATTAATTCCGATGTATATAAGATCCAGATGATTGCGTAACGATTTTATATATTGATAATAAGCACAGATTATAGTTGTAAAAACTAAGGTTTGTTTATTATATTCACTCTCATTAATTCCGATGTAGATCTAAGTGACCGCGTAACAATTTTATATATTGATAAATAATATTAATAATAGGCACAGATTATACTTGTAAAAACCAAGGTTTGTTTGTTATATTCACTCTCGTTAATTCCGATGTATATAAGATCTAGATGATTGCGCAACAATTTTGTATATTAATAAATAATATTAATAATAAGCACAGATTATACTTGTAAAAACCAAGATTTGTTTTTTATATACAAGCTAGTAATAGGCTACTTAACTTTTAAGCATTTCTATTATAGTGTTGCTATTATAGTTTCATTTCATCAATTAATATTATAATAAATTAATAACCTATAAATAATTATAAATCAGTTTCTTATAATCAAAGTCAAAATTTTTCTAACACAACCTTTCAAGTAGTTATAAGTGACTTTGTAGGAACACTTTGGCTAAATTGTTGCCGCTGAATTTGTTTTAGTCTACATTGGAAGAAAATCTTAAAATAAGTGTGAAAAAAGGAATGCTTATGACTAGCATAGAATAACCAATATTTAAGCTAACCTTTTCTTTTAACTGCTGTTAGAAAGTTCTAGTTGGCTCTAAAATTTTTTATTATGGTTGAAAATCGCTTGCTATATTAATATGAAAAACGGAGATTTTTTTTGATTTTATTCGTGTAACGTTTATATGACATTTGATCTGCAATGTCCCACGACTAATAAAAATATTAATATTAATATTAATATTAATATGCATTTATTATTATTAAGAAAGCTAAATTATCATTAGTTGACCCCCTGGAATTATTTTCTTTCGCAATATTTCTTATTCTCGTATCTAAAGCACCAAACATTCCTTTAAACATTCCTTTATATTATTAGATGTATATAGAAGAAAATGGGTGGTTGTATGTCTACGAATGATCCTATAAATAAAGTAATTACTAAACAATTAAAACAAGATGAAAAAAGATTAAAGACTGAAGTAAAGTTACTCTTGCTAGGTAAAAAAATAAAACAAAAACATTTTTTTTTGGGAAAACATGAAATTTTTTTAAGTTATTTTAATTATTTAATTAGGTGCTGGAGAATCTGGCAAAAGCACAATATTAAAACAAATGAAATTAATTCACGCGGCAGGATTTAACCCTGCAGAGATAGAAACATTTAGATCAATTGTGTTTCTTAATATAATGCAATCAATGAAATTAGTAATTGAGGCAATGGAATGTCTTAAAATACCACTTGATAATAGTGATAATATGGTAAATAATTGAATCTATTAGTATGATATTTATTATATATTATTAGTTTATATCATTTACTATTATTACCATTTTTTAGAAATATATTACATTATTCAATGAGACACCAAGTATTACCAAAGGTCAGCCATTTCCGATTATTTATTTTGAGCCTTTAAAATCACTATGGGCGGATTCTGGTGTACGACAATGCTATGAAAGGGGACATCAATACGCATTACATGATAATATGAATTAGTAATTATAATTTATAACTATAAATTTATTTAAATATTTAAATAAATAATAAATAATAATATTATTATTACATGTATAAAATAAGTTTTTTCGATTCTTTGGATAGAGTATTTTCACCATCATATATTCCAACTGATCAAGACATCCTAAGATGTAGAATGAAAACATCTGGTATAGTAGAAACTGTATTTCATTTAGGTCCATTAACATA